CCAATGTGATTTTGTACAACAGATTAAGAGCAATTTTTTTAAAAAATAAAGATAAAAATGCTAGAATCAACATGGCAGTATGGCTTAATGGAATTGCTTGTAGAGTTAGTTATTTGCAATTCAAATTTCGAGCATAATATTAAAAATATGATCTTCAAATTAATGATCACCTACTACTATGAAGATTGCAAGGATGCTGGCATAGTATATTTTTTCAGTTTTATCAATTATTCTTTATATATTTATCTTGGACGTAATTGTTTTAGAAAAATTTCTATTCTACTTTTGTGGATGGTGGATTTATATGCATTCTTTGCAAATTTGCAAATGTTTGAGAATATTTTTTTTAAAAAAATATTATTCACGATAATATTTTCAATTTTTTGGGCCAAAATATAATATGGAATATAACATTGGGAATTGATTTAAAAAAAAAAAAAAAAAACACTTGGACCTATGTTAATTTTCTTTGGTTCAAAAAGTAAAATCCAAACTTGCCTAGCCTTGTAAATCATCACTAAGGAAAGTGTTCTTACAATTATCATAAAGATCTGATTATGATACTAACAATGTCACGCCCAACTCTAACACCCTATGATCCAAGACTAAGATTCATTTGACTTCATGTAATAAAGTCAAAAGTTCATTAGTCACTTCTAACTATTCAAGAAAAATGTCAGAACAATTTTTTCAGAAAGACAAGGTGCTTCTTCAACTGCCATCAATAATTCAAGATAATGCCAGAACAACTTTAAACAAAATGCAAGATGCATTGCAACCAATTTTTTTTTATCTACATATCTCAAAGTTCATCTCATAATTATGCCAAACTTATAGGACCCAAAACGCAAGCACTTCATTTCATGAGGCTGCTACAGAATAAGTTCTACCATTTTGGAACATTTCTAATAATAAAAATATGGTGTTTATAATTGAATCTACTATACACCATATTAGAGAACAAAGAGAGGTAATTAATCTGTTCAGAAGCAGCATTTCATTGTCCCGAAAGGAAGTACATGTACAGCTTTCCAAAAATATTGCCCCACCTTGTGTCAGTTACCTGAATCTTTCTTCCTTCTATGATTCAACTGTTAACTGTGTAGTTTGTCTTCGTAATATAAGCAGCCCCCATCTTGGTTCAATGATGACGTTTCCTATACGATCAGGAACCCCCAGATGCTAAACAAAGAATTGAGTGGGAAAATTCCAAACAGATATTAAATCCAATAGCTGAATCAGTCATGTCTCCACAAACCCAATGGTAATGCTTGTCCTAGATGTGATTGCACTTTTCTCTTCTTAATATGCCCATATCGTTAAATTTTTTGGTCATCAGCTGGTGTCTTTGCTTTCATTAAGACTGCAATCACTTCTTCTACAGTCCGCAACACGAAGCTTGGATTTGAAAGATGAAAAGCTTCGTTATATTCCTCCTCAGTGAAATCCACTTGAGTTAGCACTCTTTTGTAGCTCTTGCAGGCATACCTTGGGTGGCCCCTTGCAATGGATGCCTGCAATCATTGGAAAACAAACAACGAATAGAAAATCTGTTATTTCATCAATATCAATATTTAAAGTTCAACACTAGTCATAGTCCAGTGCATGGTGGACTTTCACAAAATTTTCATTTTAGCCCTAAATTTTTATTACTTAAAACATAGAATTAATCATAATTTTTATATTTAAGCGTCTAAACCATATCATTTATATATTCAACTGTAGAATTATAGATTTATATCTTCACTTGTTAAGGAATTTTTATTTTCACTTCTTAAGGAATGAATTAAAGAAACATCTTATTTAAAGTGGATACGAAGTTGACTTCGAAGTATAATATTATTTGCTTTCAAATTTTTGTTCTTATTTGTACATTATTTTTATTCTTATTTCATAGAATTAAAATTTAACTAAACTCAATCTTAATGATATCAAGACAATATATTGGTGACTACAAACTTCTAGACTCATGGGAAAAAATCTTTCTTAAACTATTTAACACATACCAAATGTCCTTTTTGGAGATGGACAAGCCAGAATCTCCATTTTGTCATAATCACACCATTGACTTTAACAGATATATTTGTCCAGCTATCATGCTGAAACTCCACTTTGTCCAACTCAATTGACAGTCCACACCCTATGGCCTTGACATATGCTTCTTTAAGACACCAATACCTGCGGAAAACAAATTCTTCATTCAAAAATTCATTAAACCATTAATAGTCTAAATGGCAGGGTCTTAACACCACCTCACGTTTTACTTTAAGAATAGCTATAAATACTAGCCAAGATGAAAGAAGCACATGAAGCCGAAAATATTCAAAGAAAAGTGGGACTTCCTTCTAAAAGAGAAGGAAGAAAATGACTGCAAGGAGTGCAGCCATTCATTTTGTATGTGTGATATCTACTACCTAGTTATGGTCAAGTTAGTACCTAAACTCAAATTCTAGCATGACACAATTTAAAACTTGAAAAGGATCCTCACCAACCAAGCTTAATCATTGCAAGTTGAAAGTTGTATTTGATCATTAATATTTTTTTTCCAATTTAGTTTGTAATAATGTATCTGTAATTAGTAGGCATTAATTGACTATGAAGAGTTATAATTATTAGAAACATTTGTTATTAATAGGGAATAATTGACTAGGAAGATTTGTAGATCCTTAGTGTAATTAATTTCTTTTTATATAAGATCTCCTCATATTATAAGTAGAAACTTTGTAATGTACGAAAAAAATCAGAGAAAATTAAAAACCAGATTATTTTTTCTCTGGTTTCCTCTCAATCTACATGGTATTCGAGCATGAATTTTTTTTTTTTTACTAAACCATAAATAGCTGTTCCTAAAGCCATTACAGTGTTAATCGACCTCCAAGCATGTCAGGAACTCAGAGTGCTCACTTCTTGCCTCCATGTAATGTAATCAAACCCATAATCCTCAAGTCTCCTCTAATTCTGAAACTCATCTAGTACAAATTATCACCATTCATCTCAATGACAATAGTTTCCTATGCTAGTCACAGTTAATCCATATGTATATTAGAGGAAGAGAAAAAACTTGGTTACCTTATCAGTACTACTCGAGAGTCAACCATTATGGATTCATCGCATGCAACCTGGGACGCAGAAAATTTAATGGTTATGACATAGACTGTGAATTCTATGGAGACGGATATAACTTTAGTTACATGTGCTACACTACTGCCAAGGAATTTTGGCATAATGTTATCGATATGTACTCTGATTTGGGTAACAAATTCCAAATGTATGAACTCCCTTTGAAGTTTAGTGATATTCGTCAAGGTAATGAATCTGTCACAAAATATTTCAATTATTTGAAGCGTGTTTGGCAGAATCTGAATCTTTTTAATGATCACAAATAGAAATACCCTGATGATCTTATTTGGTACGAAACAAGTTTTTATGAAAATCGAATCTTTAAATTCTTTCCAAGTCTCATTGTTGAACATGATTAAGTCCGAGGAAGAATCATAGGGAGGAATCCCCTGCTTTCCACTAATGAAGTTTTCTCTAGGTTTCGTCTAGGGGAGAGTTGAAGATATGTCAAGCTTGGAAATAAAAATGAATCAATTAGCATAACAGAAAGTCCAGTATTTATTATTGCAGAGGCACATACGAGTAGGCAAAATTGTCAAAACCTGCAAAGGAACAAAGAAAGACCACAAGTATGTGGTGACCATTGCAATAAACCACGTCACACCAAAGATAGTCTTGCAAGATACAAAACATGTCTTGTAGCGAAAGGGTTCACTCAGACATTCAAAATAGACTAGTAAGAAATATTTGCTTCGATGGTCAAGATCAACTCTATTCGAGTTCTTCTCTCCATTGCAGCAGGAAGAAAGCGGCCTTTATATTAGCTTGATGTAAAGAATGTTTTTTTAAATAGTAACCTTGAAGAGGAAGTATTTATGAATCTTTTGCCTGGATTTGAAAGAATCTCGTGAGAAAAAAAGTTTGTAAATTAAAAAAATCCTTATATGGACTTGAATAATACCCAAGAACCTGGTTTGAAGGATTCAATTAGGTAGCGAAGGATATAGATATTCTTAGAGTCAACTGACCTCACCATGTTCTATAAACATTCAAAATCAGATAGTTGGTCATATTTATCATCTATATTGATGATTTTGAAGACACTGAAATCCTAAACAAGAAGTTAGTTGGGATTTGAGATTAAAGATTTAGAAAATTTAATGTACTTCCTTCCTATGAAACTTGCCAGATCCAAGGAAAGAATCTTTGAAAATCAACACAAGTATGTTCTTGGGCTACCTAGTGAAACCGGTATATTTAGATGCAAGGTAGTCGAGACTTCCACTAAATCGAACATAAAGTTACGAGCTGCTAAAGCAAAAGATGTGGTGAATAAAGAATAATATCAAAGATTTTTAGGTAAACTAATCTACCTATCACATACTCAGCCATATATTACATTTGCAATAGATGTAGTAAGTCAATTTATGCATTCTTTAAACCAAAAGCATTTTGAAGCAGTCTATAGAATCCTTAGGTACTTTAAGGAAACTCTTGGTAAAGAATTATTCTTTAGAAATCATAATTACCTACAAATAAAGGCTTATATGGATGCAGACTGGACTGAAAGTGTCTCAAATAGAAAATCAATATCAGGATACTGTACCTTTATCGAGGAAAACTTGGTAACATGGAGTAATAAAAAATGTGGTGGCCAAAAATAATGCCGAGGCTAAATAAATCTGTTGCTCAAGGAATTTGTAAAGTTTTATGGTTAAAGAAACTTCTTGAAGAACTAAAGATCTCTACACCACTGCCGATCAAGGCATACAGTGACAACAAATCAGCAATTGTTATTGTACACAATCTTGTTCTCCATGACATAACAAAATATGTGGAGACTAACAAGCACTTCATCAAAGAGAATATTGATAATGGAAGCATTTGTGCGCTTCATATTTCATCTACCAATCAGGTGACAGATATTCTAACTAAAACGCTCCATAAGAAATAGTTTGACAGTTTAGTTTCCAAGTTGGCAAGAGAAGATATTTCATGCCAACTTGAGAGTGAATGTTAACATATTTTGTCTAGATTCTTAATATTTATTTTCTAATTTAATCTCCAACTATATTTCTGTAATTAATAGGAAATAATTACTAGGAAGATTTATAATAAATAAGGAATAATTGACTAGGAAGATCTATAGGATCTTTAGCGCCTACATCAATACTTTTTACACTTTTCTTTCAAAAAAGCAAAATAACATCACCTTATACTATAAGTAGGAGACCTTATAATGTATGAAAAAATTAAAAAAATTTAAAAACTAGAATATTTTTCTTCGCTTTCCTCTCAATCTATAAAATACAATACATCAAGCAACTTTATGAAAACTGATATCTCCTTGAAGTGAGGAAACCATCTAATAATACTAATATTCTCATTAGGACGTTAATTAAACTTGCACTATGATAATAAATTGTCGAAATATATGGAAAGAATCAGATAGCTGATTGCATATTTTTAAAATTATTATTGCATATTTTTAAAATTTATTGTTGTATATTTTTAGAAGTTATTGCTATTGATTGTGTAGGTATTTACTTCTAAGATTACGAAGGTAAAATAGAAATGTATAAGTCTATAAAATCAACCTTTTGTACCAACTGTAAATAACAGAAAATAAAGAAAAAAAAATCTTCTTTTGCCATCCGCATTCATTGTATCAGAACCATGGCTTAGCTAGCTTGGCCTAAATACATATATATATATATATATTTTCCATCCTCTTGTTTCTATCATTCTCCTTTTTGTTTAGTTTTTTTGTGGTGATGGTGTAAATCACGATGCCTGAAACAGTGAAGATAAGCGACACCAGTTCCAAAAAGGTCTTTCACTCCATCACTGAGTAGAATGGGAACACAAAAACTGTTGATGCAACACCTTCATTCAGTAAGGAACAGTTAGAACAATTGTATATATTTTTTCAATCCACATAATTCTCTAATCCTATGCCTTCTTCTTGTCCTTAACCCAGAAAGGTAATTATCTTTAATCTGTTGTCTTTAATGTATCAACTATTTTCCTTTATCTACAGATAATGGTTTCGGGTGTCATAGATCATATGATAGTTTGTTCTAAATTGTTTTCTTCTTATATTTCTTGTGCTAGCAATAAAAAAATTAAGATTGCCGATGACTCACTCTCAGCAATTGCTGGGAAATGTTTAATTTGTCATCTCTAAAATTTGGTTCTTCATGATGTCCTTCACGTTCCAAATCTTTTCTGCAATCTTTTATCTGTCAGTAAAACAACTCATGATTTAAGGTATTGTACTACATTTCTTTTAAATAGTTATGAATTTCAGGATCAAGATACGGGGATGATGATTGACAATGTCAGGGAACATGGAGGTCTCTATTACTTTAATGACCGAAACTCTTTATGTTAGCAACCAAAGTCCTCAAGTCTTGGAGCATGCTTTAATTC